GTTCCCTCCTGGTTGTCTTTCATGGAAACATTGGTTGTGAATCTGATGATCTGAGCTCAGGGGGGCAATCTGCAGCTCCTGACCATCATATATGTTATGAACCAGGATTTTTCAGAGGGTACGGTCAAAAATTCAAGATGGCTGCACTTTGATTATACCATTGCAGCTGCCATTTTGATTTTTTGACCGTATGCTGTGGACTCCCCGTATGAAGCATGAAAATTAGCAACCTTTCTTCCTGCCATTCTGAGCTGGGAAATGTGTGATGTAGCATAAGCCCTAAACCAGGCAGGTCACATGGACTCCCCAAATTAACCCCAAGCCCTGCCAGTGTTAAGTGGCCCTTAGACACTAAAAGGTTGCCTGCTTCTGGTGAACTACCCACGTCCTGATGCGTTGAGCAGCATCTCCACCAGAATCGGTTGCCCCAGAACCCCTTAACAAATGTGTACAGTAATCCTATATCTCAGAAGTACTCAGAAGTGTTACTACTCAGAAGTAAGCCCCATTGCATTCAATGGGAATTACTCCCGAGAATGTAAATATGTGTTTCACTCTTAATGGGGCAAATGCTCTTACAAACAAGAGTCCATGTGATCAAATGGTTGAATGCTCAGACATAGACATTTAGGGCCTTTTGTCCCCCCCTCCCCCCCGTAAAAGTAGAGCCTTTGCCTTTTCCCTGCCCATTTCAAACAAGCCAAGCATAGGCTGACGTTGCTAACAGCAGCAGCCAACCCCAGCGCAAGGGTGGACGTTACACCTTGTACTAAGTCATGGTTTAGGTACACTTTGCTGAATAAACCAGACTTGGCTACCTTTGCACAACGCGTAAGCCATGGCTTGCAAAGCCCAGTGGCTGGGTCAGCAGGAGCAAGGAAAGGCTTAGTCCGGGCAGTGTTCCAGATGTGGAGGATGCGCTTGTGAATCCTGAGACTATTCCAAGCAGCTGGAAGGGAAGATTCCAGATCTGCTCTACCTCAGCCTCCTTTTCTGCCTGGAGCAGATTCCTGTTTGTCAGGGCTGGCCAGGGAAGGCAAGCAGGTGGATTCCAGCACGTCTTGCCCCCCTTATCTTATCTGCCCGTCTGTCTCCCCTCCCCATTATCTTTCTTGGAAACATTTGCTAAACAGAACACTCCGCGACGGTCCGTCCTTCCTTCGTGCTGGGCTTTTCCAGGCTCCTGAATGAGCTCCATGTTGCTCAAAATATAGATAAGCAAACTACCATTAAAAGCATGCGTGCAATGGGAGCAGCTGAAATCTTTTCCCGCCCTCCCTCCTTCCTCCCCCCACCCCCATTTTTTGCTCTGTATAGTTTTCTGCCTGATTTTTAAAGCAGGGTTTCTATTGTGGCTATGGTTTGCTGTACAGTTAGGAGGGAATGGAATACCAAAAAGAAAAAAAAATGCCTGTAGCGATGTGGAGCTTAAATTGCAATATGACCCCTCAAAAGAAGCAAGGTGGGGGTGTATTGCTCTTTTGGTAGCATTCCTGAGTTTGTTTATTTTTATTGATTGATTGTACTCATATAGCCGCCAGGACTCTGGGCAGCGTACAACACTTAATTAAAAAGCCATAAATACTCATAAAACAATCACTAAAACTATAAAAACTATAAAAACGCACACAACAGGAGAGGATGATGTTAACTGTAGTAAGGGAGCCATCGCAAAATCTCCCTGGTCCCTGGGACCCCCCAGGCCTGACCACATCGCCAGGTCTAGAGGGATTTGCAGCATGTTAAGAGGGATGGGGCTAATCTCACTTCTGGGGGGAGAAGAATTGGCAGTCAGGGGGGGGGGGGCGGAAAATGACTCTCTCTCCTTTCACGCCCATATGAGTAGAATGAAACTGTTCGATAAGTTACAGTGGTAATTTCGGGTAAATCAAGCAAACCAACCAAAGGGCTATCTCTATCTCAGCTCTATAATATTGAATGTTGGTCTTCCCTTTTACAGCTGAGGACTTCACGTGTACCACAGTGTCTCGTCCAAGGTCCCAGAGTGAATGGGTGGCAGGCATGGCAAATATCCTTTGGGGATGGTGGGCAGTCGCGTTTAACATTTACAAGGAAGTTGGGGGCCGGAGTATTCAAAGCACTGATACAAAGTAGGTGAGGTCCCACTTAGAAGAGAACAAGATTTTCTGGTTTGGTTCTTTGTGTGTGCGTGTGTGTGTGTGTTTTGGAGGGGAGAGGTTTTTTAAACAATATTAAGCCTATTTTAGGACATGCACCATGTGTTTCCTGCTTCAGAATGGGGCAACCATGCTGCTCATTTTCAGCAGTTTTCTCAGTGGGGCTTCCAGGGTCTCTCTCTCTCTCTCTCTCTCTCTCTCTCTTTTTACAGCAGATGGGCGACACAGCTCTAACACCAATCCTAAAATCGAACCATTTGAATGTGGGGGCAAAATGGCCAAATTGCAGCAGCTCATTTGCTCGGCATTTTTTCTGGGGGAAGAGGGCGGTCAAGGGTGGGAAGAGCAACAGTGCCTGTCTTCCAGAATTCTCCCATTCCTACCCATAAATTCTCCTTCCAAATGCTAAAATGCAGGCTGAAAAATCTCAGATATGCCTCTTCTCATGACCGTATCCCTTCAAGGAGCGGTCTCTGGTGGCCCTCCAGGTGCTTTGGGGGAGATGGGGTGATGCAACCCCCAAGAGCCCCGTGTCATTCCTCTGCCCTTGCTGCTGGCCACTGTAAGTAAGCAATGTTTGGAGAGCTAGCATGGCCCATCCTGGCTTAACATAGATATCCTGCTTATCCCAAGGGCACAGGGCAGCTGTCAGCGGTTCCGAATTGCATAGCCCTTTTAAAAGTCTAACAATAAAAACAATGCCCATATAAATAGAACAGCAGGAATGGAAGAAGGAAGGAAGTAAATGCAGCGTGGATAATCGGAGACCCCTTTTGAAAGCACTGGCCAAAGTTTTGACTGCAATCTATAATTTGCTGGGGGGAGAGTGGTTACAGCTACTCGTTCAGTTGGTTTTAGAAAGCAATTAAAGCTACTGATGAAGGAGAGCGCGGGAGGGGGCATTTTAAGCATCCGCTAATCTAGTTAATGGCAGTCTTTTTTAGTTTTTTCGCCTAATGCACAAATCTGGGCCTGATTTTTAATCGTTGCTTATAAGAAAAATGGATACTTTCCCTCCCCTCCCCACTTTTTCTGGGCCCAAAGGACTCAACTGGGACTACTGGTTATATTAGAATGGAAAACCACCAACCTTTTCCTCCCACTGTGAGGTCCCTTGTCTGGCTCTCTAATGCAGAGGTCAGAAATCGCCGCTGCATCAAAAGTGGGGCACACACGACGGAGCTGGAATGCAGTCCCATTTGGGGGTCCCAGTCCAAAAAGGGCTCAGGAAATAATGGCACTCAACCTTTTCTTGGTTAATCCTCCCCCCTCTGCTGTTTGCTTGCCTGTGATACAGGCCTTGTTTGCATCTTCTTGGCAGGTTAATCCCCCGCCTTGATTTATTTACAAGTCTTTTTTTTACCCTTGGAGTTTCATACATAGTTAAGAATGTAGTCCGTTGTGTCATTTAAAAAAAAACAACCAACCTTAAACTTTGGACTGTCCTTAAACTTTGGGATGTTTCAGACCTAACCCCAGAGTGTCAGTCTGCTTGTCAAAGCGAAAGAGAATGGGATGGCCACTCTGCCATGAATTCATTTGTCCGTCCCAGCAGAGTCATCCTCTCTCCACAGCTTTGATCTCTTGCCCAGCAATATTGCAGAGGATGATATCTGGACCTCCCTATGTGTGTGTTCCCTGTGAGCATTATGGAAATATTTATGGATCCACTGAAATGCTCAGAAGGCTAGGGAAATGCTTTAAAAGGGGCGGTTGATATTACCATTTCTGGAAGTGTAATGGTTTCAGAGGGTTATAGCAAGATCAACTGGAAACCTGTTGCATTAGTAGCTCCTGCATGGGACACGGGGCATTGAAGAACCTCTGTATCAAACACCAGGAGACTTCCATATTCCATATCTCAACCAGGTCACTGATGAAGTAGCTGCTCAGAACCAAGAGCTGCCTGAAATCCAGTGGGATCCATTGGCCTCCGTCAGTGAAGGAATTTAATCCAGTGCCTGCCCTTGCAGAGAGAATTTACCACCACAGTTGCTGCAGCCGTTGCAACCCGACGAGTCCTCCCTCCATTCGCAAATCTGCCTGCTTCCCTGAGCTCCAGCTATGGAAAAGCAGGGCCCCTGCAGGAAAACCACTCAGCGTAACAAATATCTTCTCCTAAACTAGAGAAATGAAGTGCAAATGGAAAAGGGAAGCAAAACAAATGTGGCCACATAAAAATACAGAAGCAGCAAAGATATTATATCTTATTAACAACACTAAAGACCTAACTGAAATCGGTCCCTACTCAGCCTACTTATCCACAGCCCAAATATATATAGCTGGGTCATAACCTTAGCTCTGACTTAGCTGTCACTTTGAGGGTGGATTAAAAATTGACCATACAGCTATTCAGGGCTCCTCACCCTGGGACAACTCAACTGCCACCCAAATCCTGCAAAAGAGAAAAGGCCCTTCTCCTTGTCATCCCCAAAGGGGCACGGCTCTTTAATGGCTCCAAAGGTTGACCCCACAGGGATCGAGCACTGCAAGCAGGCCGCTGGCTGTTTC